ACTCCAGTCCATCAGTTAATGTCTTGTGAAGTGAAAAGCTGCATGTTTGTAAGAAACAAATCCATCATTATGACGTTTTAACTTAACCGGTGCTTCTGGCCAAAATACTAGTCCATAACGCTTCCTCCAGTGAAAAAGTCCTGTTTTTCTCTCACATCAAAACCAACCCACATATTTGTTTAGAACTGTTTTGGTTTGCAAACAGCGCTTGATCTGTGCAGATTTCTCTCCTGATTCAGACGAGATGACCTGATAGCAAAAGCAAAAGGTTTGATAATCTAAATATAATTTGTCTTCATATCACGTTAATGGATGTAATCAACACATTCATCAGGTTAACATACTTTACTTCATATGCAGGAAATGCAGAACACATTTCAATAACGTGCCTTAAACAGTGTAGGTTGGATTGCTGTAGGTCACGTGAAAATGTTGGATGAATAAATCAAATGTGTATCAAATGTTAATTTTAATAGTTCAATTTTCAATTGATTACATGTTAAAGATTATTTAAATTGTTAATGTTTTATGTCTTCATTTGATTACCTCCATTTTTATTATAAATTTGTTAAATTAAACAGATAACATGCCAGTAGGCAATGCTTTCACTCAGAAGGTTCTCTAATTGATGTAAAAAAAAAAAAAAAATCTGTGTTCTTAAAGATGTTTCACCAGAAATAATCTTAAATTATCTTAAATTTTAATTATCTTACATTTTTTTTCATCGAATCTTGAAATGAAAAATCTTAATGTTTGTTATACTGAAGTGAACTGGTTGTTTTTCATTACTACTGTATGTTACTACTGTTTGTTTCTTTTAAAATACATTGATTTTGCCATGAAAATAGCCATAGCCATAAACAGACAGAATTTGTGAAAAAATAAAACATTTCATAGGGCCCTATTATTGTAAAAAAAAAAAAAAAAAAACTTAATAAAACAGAATTGTGACCCTGGACCACAAAACCAGTCATAAGAGTCAATTTCTCGAAATTGAGATTTATACATCATCTGAAAGCTGTGCAGATTTCTCTCCTGATTCAGACGAGATGACCTGATAGCAAAAGCAAAAGGTTTGATAATCTAAATATAATTTGTCTTCATATCACGTTAATGGATGTAATCAACACATTCATCAGGTTAACATACTTTACTTCATATGCAGGAAATGCAGAACACATTTCAATAACGTGCCTTAAACAGTGTAGGTTGGATTGCTGTAGGTCACGTGTTTGTGGTTTTAAGCAGAACCTCCATGACAACAAACAAATTAGTGGTGAGTTTTCTATGAGTTGACGCTCATATTCTCACACAGGATACACTAAACGATCAATATATAATTAATACATTAAACTCTTGCATAGTGGTTTATTTAAGACTAAGAGAGCAGTGACACCGTCTGCTCAAACTCTTACTGGCTGCATTTCATTCATTTCAAATCGGCTTTGCTCAGGCTTGAATGAGGGATTATTTAGCAGAAATATAATATCAGACGAGCCCCGTCCTTCATTCAGTGCTCTCACGCAAGAAACATAAAACTCCCTCCACTGCTGAGGTACAAATATGGTCTCATTACCTTCCCTTATCCTCCATTTATATTATTATTATTATAACAGCACCTGTTGATGCTCTTAATCTCTGTATGTTCGCTAAAGTCTGGAGCAGGGTTGCCAGGTTTTCACAGCAAAACCCTCCAAAGTGCTACTCAAAACTAGGCCAAAACTGGTCCAATCGCGTTCAGGGGCGAAAATACACCTAAAATACACGTCTGTGACAGGTTTTTGAATCCCAGGGGCTAATTATCAAGTTAATGGGGTCGCTTCAACCCGCGGCATCAGTGTCAAAGTAGCCCAATTCCGCTGGAAAAACCCGGACTTGGCAACACTGGTCTGGAGCTCATTGCATGTTTAGTAGCCTATATCTGATTCAGATAAAGCCTGCAACTTGAATAATCACAGTTTCACACTTATGGATCTGTTCATATGTGTTTGTTATTAGACACACAGTTCTACAAGTATTTCATTCAGTGCTGGGAGAGTGTGAAATCCTGCTAAACAGGTTCTTATTATTCAATACAACGGTCAATGGCATCACCTAGTGGTGAAAATGCGTGTTGCACACTATCACGCGCACTGAAAATTAATCAAGATAAGTGTGCAATTGAATACAAGCATGCTGTTTAAAAATTAGATACAAACTTTCAAATAGAATTTTAATGTGTTGCTGTCACATGACCACACTATGTTGCACGTTTAATTCAGTGAGTGACTTCCAGTTACACATTTTGGCAGTCCAATAGCCTATAAATAAATAAATAAAGGTCTTGCACATATGTATGCAAGTACTCGTGACATTTGCATACTATGCGCAGTATACATACTATATACTCCATAAATAGCGCATGTGTCATGATCCTGTAGTGGTCCACAGGTTGGTTTGTCGCAGTGGCTTTTAATCAAGGCATGTTGTGCTCCTCTCTGTAGGATGGTCAAGGACATTGTCTTGGGCTGAATGGATTTGCTCTGCGTGATAAAGGGCTGAATCTGCTTTGTCTGTGATGGAGATCAGGAGGTCACAGCCGTACAGGAATGACCTCATCCACAGGTTCACATCACAAAACCCACCCACTTCCAATCGGATCAATCACACTGTACTGCAGAGATAGAGAGAGTGATGTGACTGCATAGATAGACAAATAGAAAGATTGCTAAGGTTTATTGCTAGGGTGTCACTAGTTGGTTACTGCGGTGTTCTGGGTGGTTGCTATAGGGCATTGCTATGTGGTTGCTATAAGGTGTTACATGTTATTTCTTTAATAATGCTGTTGTTGCATTTGTGATTAGTCACAAACAACATTATAAAATAACAGTGTTGTTACTGTTAACTAAAACTATTAAAAATCATTTTCGGTAACTGAAACAAAGCTAAAATAAAATAAAAATATTAGATGAAACACTGAAACTTAAAAACTTAAATGAAAATTAGAAATGTTTCCGAGGCAGCTAATTGAAATAAGTGAATGACTAATGCTAAAACTGAAATGAAATTAAAGCTATATAGCAATATTATTAATATCCTAATGATTTTTGGCATAAAAGAATTTTTTTTAAATTTGACCCATACAATGTATTTTTGGCTATTGCTACAAATATACCCCAGCGACTTAAGACTGGTTTTGTGCTCCAGGGTCACAATTTAGAAAAAAAATAAAATGGATTTCATAGGGCCCTAAAAATTTTAATAAATTATAGTTAAATTGTATTAATTTCATGATTTAGGCAGCTAATTAGACATGCTTTTTGATTACTATAATTTAGTAGAAATTTGTGCAGAAAAACGAAAACTGAAAAAAATCCAGAGAAAATGATTAGAGAAAAATAAAAAACAGGATTTGGGTGAAAGAAATCATTTCATAGGGCCCTACACACATGCAAAATAAAGTCATTAAAAAATGGTTCGCCTTTAATGAACACAGCATTTTTTTGTGCACACAGGCGCTCAATTTTCAGGGACGGCTGAAATATATTCACAGACAAGACCGGACCACAGAGGGCAAAGCATCGGGTCTCTCAGAGCTCGCCCTGTTTGCCATCGCCACCCCTGTTCAGCCCCCCGCTCTCCTAGAAATCAGGACCAAGACCCTCTTTTTCCAGACCAAACACAAACTGGATTTTACGCCAGTGGGCGTGGACACCAGGTGAGGATCCGCACTGACTTCATTACGGAGGGTATGTGTCACTGTTAACTGTTTGTTCGTGTGTCTTCCAGGGGGAAGGTGGTTCTGGGTTACACTGAGCAGGAGCTGTGCATGAGAGGATCTGGATATCAGTTCATCCACGCTGCTGACATGATGTACTGCGCTGACAAACACTTACGCAGTAAGACTTCACTCGCATTCTAGCGCACCGTTGTTCTGAACACATGTACTTGGATGTTCTGAGGTTCGTGTCTCTGTGTTACAGTGATGAAAACAGGAGAGAGCGGTTTCTCCATCTTCAGGCTCTTGAGTAAGACTGGCGTGTGGATCTGGGTCCAGGCCAACGCTAGAATGGTGCTCAAGGCAGGCAAACCCGACTTCATCATCTGCCATCAGAAACCCTTGACGTGAGTGCTCTTCACTTCCTCTGACACTCACAGCTGCTCACTTCCTGCTGTATTTCTGTATATTCACTATATTTTACATAGGTCTGGTTTTTGGTCAATTTAACAGTTAAACGTTTCTTTTTTTTGCTGGTTATATAAGCTTTTTTATCAAAATATTAAACTTTTTTTTTTATAATTTCTAACATTTTTAATGCTTTTATTCCTGATTTTACTTTAAAATATTTAAAAGCATGGAGCTTTAGACTGTATAGACCATAGTATCAGCCATCATATTGATTATCAGCCATAACAAAAATAATTATCAGCTATCAGTACAGGCTATATTTAACCCCAAAATTAAACAGAATCATTATTATAATGCAAAATAAATAAATAAATAAATATTATGTGCTTACATTATGGTAGTGATGTGTTGTACTTCAAATGTACATATATAAATTATATGATATAAATGATATTACATATATATATATATATATATATATATATATATATATAATGTAAGTTTTCTAAGTTTTATTGTATGGTCATTTTTTATTATTTTTTTAAAATTATTATTTCAGTTTTAGTTTTAGTTATTTTAGTACAACAAGTTAAACTAAGCGAGCTTCCTCCAGTGAAAAAGTCCTGTTTTTCTCTCACATCAAAACCAACCTACATATTTGTTTAGAACTGTTTTGGTTTGCAAACAGCGCTTGATCTGTGCAGATTTCTCTCCTGATTCAGACGAGATGACCTGATAGCAAAAGCAAAAGGTTTGATAATCTAAATATAATTTGTCTTCATATCACGTTAATGGATGTAATCAACACATTCATCAGGTTAACATACTTTACTTCATATGCAGGAAATGCAGAACACATTTCAATAACGTGCCTTAAACAGTGTAGGTTGGATTGCTGTAGGTCACGTGTTTGTGGTTTTAAGCAGAACCTCCATGACAACAAACAAATTAGTGGTGAGTTTTCTATGAGTTGACGCTCATATTCTCACACAGGATACACTAAACGATCAATATATAATTAATACATTAAACTCTTGCATAGTGGTTTATTTAAGACTAAGAGAGCAGTGACACCGTCTGCTCAAACTCTTACTGGCTGCATTTCATTCATTTCAAATCGGCTTTGCTCAGGTTTGAATGAGGGATTATTTTGCAGAAATATAATATCAGACGAGCCCAGTCCTTCATTCAGTGCTCTCACGCAAGAAACAAAACTCCCTCCACTGCTGAGGTACAAATATGGTCTCATTACCTTCCCTTATCCTCCATTTATATTATTATTATTATAACAGCACCTGTTGATGCTCTTAATCTCTGTATGTTCGCTAAAGTCTGGAGCAGGGTTGCCAGGTTTTCACAACAAAGCCCTCCAAAGTGCTACTCAAAACTAGGCCAAAACTGGTCCAATCGCGTTCAGGGGCGAAAATACACCTAAAATACACGTCTGTGACACACTGAAACTTAAAAACTTAAATGAAAATTAGAAATGTTTCCGAGGCAGCTAATTGAAATAAGTGAATGACTAATGCTAAAACTGAAATGAAATTAAAGCTATATAGCAATATTAAAAAACAAACAAACAAATATTTGTCATGTGTATTAGTTTTTTTTTAATATATATATTTGCACAACAGAAATTACTAAAAAAAAAAAAGAAAAAAAAAAGTAAACTGTATAGAAAGATTTAATAATAATAATAATAAAAAACAAAATTACTAGTTACAAAAATATTTGTCATTTTATTTAGTTTTTAAAATATTTATTTGCACAGCAAAATTGCAAAAAACTTAAATAAAGACCAATTAAAGCTATATAGAAATATTTAAAATAAAAAATAAAATGACAAAAGCACTAAAATTAAATGACAAAATTACTAAAATTAAAATGAAAACTGAAAATATAAAATGAAAGGTACTTTACACCATTAATAAATAATGTAATATTAAAAATACGTAATTAACACTGTATATAGTACAATATTCTTTACAATTTTATATTAATAAATGTTAAATATAATTTAAGAATATCTAAAAAAAAATAAAAAAATAATACACAATATACTGCCATACCATTACACTATCTAGTTTTTTTCTCCCCTTTTTTATAGCTGTATTGTACATCATGTGAGGAGCTCATCACTGAGGTGTGTATGTGTGTGTGTGTGTGTGAACCTGACAGCCTCTGTCTGTTTGTGAGCTCACGTCCACTCAACTAGAATTTAGAGCAGCTTTCACATTCTGCATGACATTCTGTCCACCTGCATGTCCATATTGAAAAGGTTATTGGAAATAAGAGCTTGATTGAATTCACATGCAGTGCGCAACCAAATAGAGTTCTTACATTCTTTCTGGAATTTCAGCTTTCGCCGAGGATGTTTGTGTTTAAAAAAAGCTGATACAGAAATGGAAAACTCACAACAGTGATGCAGGATCCACAAGTCAAATGTTTTATGTTTCCCAGATCCTAAAAACTGTCTGACCTAAAGGCTTCAATGCTTGAAATTGGTTTTGAAGACAGATTAATTGTACATGCCTATGTTACAAAATCTGATATTTTATTTTTCCCCTTAAGGCAAGACAAAACAGGAAAACCCATTCTTTTCTTCATCCACTGGTCAGTTTTGAGATGTTGGACTGTTTTGCTTCCATGTCCCTCCTTCAACAGTGTTGAAAATCATCCCAGAATCTCATGAAGTTAGTTTATGAATGCCTAGAGAGAGAAGAGCAGGAATATAGACAAAGAAGCAGCTCAAATATAATAAAGATTTCATTTCATTTCATTAAAATGATTACAAAATGTGTGAAAAAATGAGGAGTGTCCAAAACCTCCCTGCTATTTTGTGAGCTGAACTGCCTCTTGACCACTAGGGGCGCTATGTATCCATTTCAAACACACTGAACGGAGCATGTGGCTGTGAATGAGATATTTGAAGACTTCAGTACAAACAGTTGCTCATTATCTTGGTCTTTATATATTATTATAAATCACATTTATTTGAACTTCCACTATTGGTAGCATTGCGTTAGCCAGTTTTGCACAAGCAAACACTGACCTTTTCAGAAAATGTCTGAATTTAAATCAAGTGGCTCATGCTAATATTTTTAATATGTTGTTGTTGTCATGTTCCATTGCACGCTTTAGAAACTTTGGACACCTTAACCATGTCAGGCATCAGGGAAAAGGACCACCGGTTTGTTTTTAACACAACAACAGATGTCTCAGTGTCAGCGTGTTCTCCTCCAGCTCTGAAAGGAAAGGAAATATCGCAGAGAAATGCTCTCCAGATTGCCGGTTTGTCGGTCGCCAGTCGTCCCCTGGGTAAAATGGGGGAAATTCAGCATTTGTTTCAGAGCCAAGAGAGCACCGATTGTAAGAAACCCAGACAGTCAATAGTTTGTTTATTTGCAGTCGTCTTCATTTGGCTTTATGCGAGCAGTGGACATTGTTCCTACACAAATGAATTTTCCTCAAACGATTAGGTATATCTGAATCACCATCACAACATTTGTTAATGATGATACATCACAAGTTAGGCTTTTAGATGAAAATCGTCGGTCATTTATTCTTAGTTAGTGCTTTTCGAAATAGAATTGAAATCCCTGGCGCACTAAAACTCAATTCCATCATCTTAAACAGCAGTATTTTGGGAACAGGACACTTTTTTTCTCCTCTCTGATGTCTGATTGAAATGATAGTCCTTCATTAGAGAGTTCAGATCATTTATGGCACCATGTATTACGTTTGCGAAGTTTCTTGTCCCACATGAGATGTTGTTCTATCAGCGCAGGTTTATTGAAAAGATCCTCAGAGGTTTCGCTATTTCCCTCTTGTATTGTACAGAGACGATTCGTCTGTGTTAAACATTAATTGAATTCTGATTTTAGGCAATTATTCCTCATTTTTGTGGGTATTTGCATTAATCTAAAATATTAATGGGTTCATTTGGCTGAGCTGAAGCAAATGTTTGGCCGCAGAGGACCCTTCCTAACTCTGACGCCCCTCGAGGCCTTTCTCCACTAATCTTATGGGTCTTTTAAGAAGAAAGAAAGAAAGAGAGCACACATTATATGAAGGATGTTAAAGGAAGCACTGGAACAGAGAAGGATCATGCTTGCAGATCTTACAAAAACCCCATAGTACTATTATTTTTTACTAGTGTTAGCACCAGATTTATCAAAGTTTGAGAGGTTTGTGGGTAAAAATATAGATTTAGATAACAATCTAGATAAGATATATTTGTATTGCATATAATATACTGTTTAAATGTGCCAAACTTTGACACCTTTAAATGGCACATTGATTGGTCACTTTACATTTTAAGGAAGTTAATACTTTTATTGAGCAAAGATTCATTAAAATTGATCAAAAGTGACAGTAAAGACATTTATAATGTTACAGAGTTTTCTATTTCAAACATATGCTGTTCTTTTGAACTTTCTATTCATCAAAGAATTAAAAAAAAATCACAGTTTCCACAAAATATTAAATGTGTTCAATATTGATAATAATAAGAAATGTTTCTTGAGCAGCAAATCAGCATATTAGAATGATTTCTGAAGATCATGTGACACTGAAGACTGGAGAAATGATGCTGAAAATTCAGCTTTGATCACAGGAATAAATTACAATTTAAAATATATTCAAATAGAAAACAATTATTCTAAATTGTAATAATATTTCACAATATTATTCTTTTTACTGTATTTTTGATCAAATAAATGCAGCTTGGGTGAGCATAAGAGACACTTCTTTAAAAAACATTTAAAAAAAATTTCAACCCCACAATTTTGAACAACAGTGTATATGAATAATGTGATTAAATACTAGTATTTAATCTAAATAGTATTTCTATCTGGTACTTTTTTTTCTTCTTTCTGTCACTAACTAGACGTGAATAGAATATGCATTAAATAAGAATTTAACATGAGATTTTATTTAAAAAATATATGCAAAAATAATAATGCGGCACATTTGCTGTTGAAAGGGATGAGCAGCATAGTAACCAGTTCCACAGACAGACAGAACGTGGTTATAAGCCTCACTGTATTGTCTGCATGTATCTCAATATTTCCATGATATGAAAGTCAGATTTTGGGGCGGGTGGGTGTGAGGGAGG